CCTGGACTAGTGCAGAAGCTGAGTCTGCAAAGCTCTGTCCTGTACAGTCCTCCCTGAGGGGAGTCTGCTATACCCAACTCCAGTCAGATCAAACCCACCTGCCCATGCAGCTGTCAGCTCCTCTCCATGTGGAGCCAAACTGACATCCAGATCTCCCGGTGTGTCCTTGTGTTGAACCTGGCTGACAGCTCACGTGGATCCTCAGCCACAAGCCTCACTCCGCCCAATGCCCAATCTCCGCTCTCACACCTCTACGTTTTCTTTTTTTTTTTTTTTAAGATTTATTTATTCATATAGAACTGGGGTACAGGCCAGAGATGTGGAGGGTGAGAGGATTCACCAGAGATGGAGCAGGGAGCAAAACAGGCAGATCAACGAAGTACACAGCTGAGGGGAGCAGCGGGCGGGTCAGGAGAGGTCTGCCGCGCCATGTGGTCACCTCCGGGGCAGGCGGGGATCGAACTCATGCGGAAGTGGCTTTAGCTTCTCAGTGTTGTGCTTTAACCCGCTGTGCCACCAGGGAGGGCCACCTCTGTGTTTTCAAGTCAAGGATACCCCAATGCCAGGGACGCTGGATACACTCAGCATCTCCAACACAGCTGTGCAGGCAAGGGAAGACTCGGGCTCCTCCCCAGAGGCTGGGCAGAGAGTAAAGGATGGGCCTGCGAGGCTCTGTCTCGCTGGAGCCCGTCTCTCCAGGAGGTGGACACAGAGGGTACCGCGGCAAGTCCCCTACTGCTTCCTCCCACGGCCCCTTCATGTGCATCATCCTGCTAGTTTTCTTCTCGGAGTGAGAGCTTAGTTTTACGGGTCTCTTGGACGCACAAGTGCAGTGCAAGCTAACGGTCATATAGCTCTCACTGCTCACTCTTCAGCTCCCCGCCCTGCCAGGCCCCCCAGCCAGGGACTCTGCAGTGAAGAAGGCCTGGCGGGCGACTTCTGACTTTGAGCAATAGGGGTACAGGATGCTGATTTCTGCTCCTCCATAGTACTGGTTTGGGCAAAGCCTCCCTCGTGGGTCTGGCTGCTCTTGACTTTCCCCAGCTGGGTCCCCTCTTCTTTTCAGGAAGGAAACACTTTTAAGGAGAGCCCCTTCTTTGCATCTAGCCCTGAAAAACGTACACCCCTCTCTCCGCAGTGACTGGCAGCTCACTCCTCGTGCTCCCCTTTTTCTATGCCACCACCAGGCTGACAGGCAGCTCCAGCCTGATTTGTGTTGTAATTCTTCTCTGGGCAAGCGTGAAATGCAGTCACTATTCCCCAAAACCCCAAAAGACACCTGCCAAGCCATCAAGCATTTCCTTGAAGCCTCCTCACCAGACTTAAGATGAAAGTGAAAAACCTTCGCCTCTCCATGGGCCTCCCTCTCCTCCACACTCTTTGCAGTCCTCTCTGATGGCCCAATGAGTTTTAAGCTAGAGGTGGCTGCAGGGTGCAGATTGGAAGGGCAGAATAGATGGCACTGTTCAAAGCCAAGGGTGCCCCCGCCCCAGTCCCTTGCCACCACATACCCATGATGGTTTCTGCCACACGCCTCCCCACCTCCATAGGAGGCTCTCACTGCTGCCACAGGGGAGTCCAGAGGTGCAGGAGATTCCACTCCATGGCAGAAGCTCTCGGAAGTGAGGCAGGAAGGTGGAGAGTAGATACCCACCTGCCTCGCTCCTGGAGGGCGTGACCCCACTGCCTCTCACAGCCCTGCGGGGCTGTACCTGTGCCTGGTGGAACCCGCCACATGTGGCCCAGAAATTGGCCCCCTATCTTCTTCGGTCTCTTCTCCCCACCAGTGCTGCCTGGGTGGGCCTCCAGGTGAGCCAAATGCCAGGGACACTCAGCTCTTTGCTCAGGCTTTGCTTCTGGAGAACTCAATCTCAATGTTTAGTACCTATCAGTCTTTCTTAGCTTAGAGGACCACTGCTGAATTCCAGGACAACAGCAGCTGCTTTTAGCAGCTGATTGCACACTCTTCAAAACGCAGTCACATCCATCAGAGTTTCTCAGTCTTAGCACTATTGACATTCTGGGCCAAGTCACTCCTTACTGTGGGAATGGGGGTTCTCTAGCACATTATGGATTATCTAACAGTATTTCTGATCATTTCCCAAACCATATCATCTCCCCTACTTGAGACAACCATGTGTTTTGACATTGCCAAGTGTCTGCTTGATGTAAAACCACTCCTACTAGAGAACCCCTAACATAAGTCATTGGATCTGAACAGCAATCCAAAGAGAAAAGATAATGATGATTGGGATGATAGTGATAATGGTGATGGTGGTAATGGTAGCAGTGATGGCGCTGGTGATGGTGGTGCTAGTGATGATGGGAATGATATGGGGATGATAATGGTGGTGCTGGTGATGATGGTGATGGTGGTGGTAGTGGTGGTGGTGGTGATGATGGTGATGACGGTGGTAGTGGTGATGATGATGGAGGTGATGATGAAGGTGATGATGATGGAGGTGATGATGAAGGTGATGATGAAGGTGATGATAATGGAGGTGATGATGGAGGTGATGATGGAGGTGATATCAGTAGTGGTGATGACAACGATGATGTTGACAATGCCCATGGTATTCTTACATCAGATGTAACCTCCACATGGATTGATCAAGCTTGCTTGGGTGCCACCAGTGAACCTGGAATTTGATCCCAGATCTCTGCCTTCCTTACCTCACTCCCAAAGCCCATGACAAAGACTGGAAATAGTCATTTGCAAAGAACCTGAGAAAAAACACGTGCCTTCCACAAAATTGCAGAGCCAAGAATCAAATCATGTTTTTCTTTATTCCAAGGCAGTGAGCTCTTTTGAGAGATCTCCTCCTTCCAACTTTACAAAGTATAAAGAGTTGTGCTTTGGCTTTAAAATGAAAGTTATTTGCACCCCTAAGGATGCTTCTCTGCACTCAGATATTGAAATAGTGATAGAAAAAGTTGAGTTGCACACCATCTGGAAGGCAGCTAAGAGTGAAGCAGCGTGGAGTGGACTCTAGGGGTGAGTACGCACCGCCGGCCAGGTTCTCCTGCTGGCCCGGCGCCTTCGCTGAGTGACTGGTGTCACTCGGCTCTTAGAACAGGGAGGCTCTTCCTGTTCTAGGTCAAGAACTGACATCAACCCCACTATGTCACTGTCAAATAGGGTCTCATATCATAACATTTACTGTGCACTGGGTGCAAACGAAGGTGGCCACTCTGGATTTCGGTCTCACAGGGCCTGGAAGCTGTCAGTACTTGGAGACTGGCTGGGAGTGTTGCAGGAGTCCTGGGCTGTCTTCAAATCTGTGCATGAAGCAGACAGACAGCTTTTATAGGAGAGGATGGTTTAGGGGTACTGGAGGGGAAACTGATGGAGATTCAGAGAGCAATTTCAATCTCCCTAATCAACGGTGGTGATGGCACACAGGTGAATTGGTGGTGGGAAGCCCATGGGGATTATAACTGAGATGAAAAAATGCACAAAATGAAGAATGATGTAAAAAATAAATTTAAAAAATGAAAAGAAAAAAAAACTCTCTAATCTACCTCTTGGGACAGCTTGGCGTGAGGAATTGTGAGAGGTGTTGTCAAAGGCATGGTGCTGGGTGTCCTCTGTCTCCTGCCCTCTGGGACCAAAGCTTCAGCGGTGCACCTTGTGCTGCTGTGGGTTTGTTCTCACTGCTTGAAGCCCCAGAATGGGCGGCTGCACCCCGACCCTGACCATCACCCTTATATGAAGCCTTTGGGGCATGGGGGGGTGCTGTCCCTTGCCTCCACCAGGAACTTGGCTCAGGGCCTGGCCCTAGAAGCCTCTCCCCTGGAGTGAGCGCTCAGTCAGGCCACTCCCTCTAAAACTCTCCCCTGGTGTCTCATATCCCCAGCAAGATGACATCCAAATGCCCAAATTGGGCTCTGGAAGCCCTTCACAGCCTAGTTCCTATAGAACCCTCTAGGCCCCAGGCCTGTGTCCACACCTGGGCACACTGACCACTGGGCCAGTTTCTTCAGGAACCATGACTCTCTCCCTCGCTTTGTCTTCTCCCACTGCCTGCGTATCTGCACGTGGGCTCCTGCTCTGTCTGGAAGTGCCAGAGGAAGTGCCACTTCCTCCAGGGAGGCCTCCGTGCTGCCTTCAATCTGACTTAGATGCCTTCCTCTGTCCTCACCTTCATGTGACTCCTACCACAGTCCCTGGTGTATTGACCTGAGGATACTGCTCCTCTGTGACTCTGTTTTCTGAGCACAGCACAATGCCTAGCACTTAGTAGGTGTGCAAAAATACCAAAGAGAGGGACACAAGAAAAGCACGAAGATCCAGGGAAAGAAAGGGAAGAGGCACGAGTTAATACCTGTCCGTGGCCAAGGTAGTCAAAGCCAAATTACCTGGCGAGCTTTCAAGCAGAGATCGATTTTATCCAGCGCGACTAAAACGCACACGTGGCTCATCGAAGTGTGTTCTGGATTATTAACTGTCCGCGACCGGCCAAACTTCTAGTGTCAGGGTACTTTCTTGCATTCAAATCTTTGAAAATGTGTCATCTTTAATGCTATGACTAGTGAGAGCAAATTTGAGCATGTTTCCTAGATAGATACGGGCCTCACCCCAACTTCCACCCCACCCCAAACATAACCGACAGCCTAATTGATTCTGAGGACTCTGACACATAATGAGAGGAAGGATCATTTCGCCTCACATGAAAACGCCAGTGATCATTAGCCAGCTGTCAACTCGTTCTGCAGCAAAGACCAATGAAAGCGCCCGGCCTCAGCCCCAGTTCCGAGGCTGCGGCCCCGCGCTCAGGCTCACGGGTCACAGGCCTTGAACGCAGCTCTGCTCACAACAGCACCTGAGCGAGCGGGGAGCCGGGCGACCGCAGCCTCCACGCCAGCTAGCAGGAAGGGCCCGCCGGCCCTACTTACCAGTGCAGGCTCTGCCTCCTCTCCCCGGGCCCAGAAACGGCCATGAGGGACTTGACTGGCCGTCGCGACTGCTCACGCGGCCTCCTCTGCTCTCTGCCCTCCAGCCTCAACCTGAGCAACAGCGACATCCTGACCATCTACGACGGAGATGAGGTCACACCCCACATCTTGGGGCAGTACCTTGGCAGCAGCGGGCCGCAGAAGCTGTACTCCTCCACGCCGGACCTGACCATCCAGTTCCACTCGGACCCCGCCGGCCTCATCTTCGGGAAGGGCCAGGGCTTTACCATGAACTACATCGGTAGGAGGCGCATCCGTCGGGCGTTGTTTTTCTGTGTACTTTCTTGCAGGTTAAAATGATTTCCTTTATTTTTTTAATATATTTAATTTCTTTATGTGTATATATTTTACGTCAGATGTGGTCCCCATGGAACCTCCACCCCCAGGTCCCGCAGCTGTCATCACCTCAGCCCCTGTGCTCTTCCCGCCCTGGGCTTGCTCTCTCTCCCTTCTCCTCCCCCACCGAATGTCTCTGATTATAGTTGTCTGGTTATTTTTGTTTAGTTTTGTTCTGTTTTTGTTGTTGTTGTTGTTATTTTTGTCCTGGTCCCTTATTTGGTTTCCCCTCTATTCCCCCTATAAGTGAAACCATTGGTATTTTTCTTTTTCTTTCTGACTTATTTCACTGAGCATAATCCTTTCAAGCTCCATCCATGTTGCCTTGCATGGCATGAGTTTATCTTTTTTTTTTTCCTGAATAGTACTACATTGTGTATATACCACATCTTCTTGATCCAGTCATCTATTTGGGGGCGTTTGGGATGTTTCTATAGCTTACCTTTTATAAATAGTGCTTCAATAAACACAGGGGTGCAGGCATTCCCTGCATTAATTTGAATTAATGTTTTTGTGCCCTTTGGGTAGATCCCTAGCAGTGGAATTGCTGGGTCATATGGTAGTTCCATTTTTAGTAGTCTGAGGAACATCCACACAGATTTCCATAATGGTTGCACCAGTTTGCATTCCCACCGACAGTATAGGAGAGTTTATTTCTCAACATATCCTCACCAACATTTTTTGTTGCTATTTTTTAATATGTGCCATTAAAATGATTTCCTTTAAACACGTACAGAAGGAGGAGGTTATGCTACATGGGTTACTAATATATTGGGCCTGTAAACATATGTCATTTTTAAGAGCTTGGGTTTGCTCTTGAGTCTTAGCACTGTCACCAGTGACCATGTGACCTTGTACAAGTCACTGGACCTCTCTGAATCTCCTTGATCTCATCTGCAGATGGAATCACCTACTCTACAAGGTTGACAACATGCTCTAGTAGCTTATGCCTCAGAGCTAAGTTTCATTCATTGTCAGCTAGCATTTTATATCGTCCATCCTCTCCCCTTTACAACTTCTCAAAACATCATCTTGACTTTCTTGCCTGAACAGAAGCTTGGTTCTCCCCTAGGAACTGATCTTCTCCTAAAGCCGCATTGCAATAGGACAGCACTTTCTCTCCTACCTCCCATGCATTAGAAGCCACAGGTGTGAAATAATGTCTTCTCTGATCCTCTCTGTGCCCTCAAAATCATTTCTCTCCCCATCTTAAAAAAAACAACAAACTAACCTGCTATTAGGTTTAAGCTAAGTTCACCATTCAATACCTTCTTGTTATTTTTTCTATTCACACCCTTCCCTCCCCACGCTGGGGCCCCTCCTTTACCCTCCTCTACTCTGCCCTAAGCAGTGGAGGGTCCCAGTTCCATCATGGAGCCTGCCCACTTCTCTCTCTAGACTTACTTTCTGTGTAATCTCATCTGGTTCCAGGTTCTCCACTGATCCTCAATTTGTACCTCCAACCTTGACCTTTCCCATGAACTCCAAATTCATCTCTCCAAACTCCCAGCTGTGACCTCCTTCATGTCCAATGAGCATCTCAGAAAGAAGGTTGCCAAGTAGAACTCTGTCTTCCAGCCCATCACCACCCAATTGCTCACCTGCTGTCTGCCCATCCCAGGAGACAAAACATTCCTCTCTGTTTTCTGGGGCTGCTGCTTCTTCCCTTGCTTCCTCTCCAGGCCATTCTCTCAACTCTCCTTCCACAATATGCCTCAGATCCAAGCGCAACCCCATCTTCCTATGGACACATAGGAAGTTATCATCATCCTGGGATGCTATGAATTCCCATTGATTCCAGCCCCAAAAGGGACTTGAACTGACAGAGCATCTGATCCACCTTGTGACACAGCAAAAGCCCCAGAACACCGAGGCTAGGAGGCTTGCTGTAGAGGAGCAGATCTGATGCTCTCACTCCGGTTCCCATCCTCAACGCCACAACCTTCCTTGCAACAACAGAGAATCCGAGAGACGCAGGGGGCAGTTAGATCTGACTTCTTTTGACATCCAGAACTGTGGGTACTTGCAACCTTGAGGATTTCAGTGCCAGATTCATCCAGCACTGTGAGGACCTGCTTGTGCCTCTCAGCAAGGTGCCAACCAAGAGGTTGACATCCTAATTTCTAGGATAAATCAGGGAGAGGGAATCATCCTGCAGTCACTCCACTATCACCTCCACCACCAACACCCTCTTCTGGAGGAGGTTTCTATCTCTAGTTCTTTCTTCCCCTTGTCTTAAAGATTTGCTCCTCTCACCTAATAGAAATTGTCCTCTCTGAACCACCTGCCTCTAAAATAGAAGCCACTCCCCTGATCATTGACTGTCTCCAGGAGCCTCCAGCTTGTGCAAATAAATCCGTTGTTTCTTTATTTCCAGCTGGTGGGCATCTCTCATCCCTGCCTGCTCTGCATGCTGCACTCGGAGACGCGTACGCAAGTGTTGATTGTCTACTTTATGTTTCTCAGGGGCCTTTTTACCCTTGATGGTGCTGCTAAGTATTTTCAGACTGTTACTCCTGCTTGCCCATGGTTTCTTGCTGCTTCCAGGCAGTTCCCTGGACATTGAGGAGCAGCGTGTGCTGGTTGTCCAGGACAGATGCCCTCCAGAGCCAGCTGCCTTTGCAGGACGGGCTTCTGGTTCTTGGCTTCCACCTGACCCTCCAGCCATCCTCTCCCTCCCACTAGAAAATGAGGTCATTCTTTTGCTCATCTGTCTCCTCTGGTGTCTGAGTCAGACTTCCAAACTGCATTCCACTGGATGGCAGAAATCTGACTCCATCCAAGGCTGCCCAAGGTTAACCAGAAAGTCTGGCCAATATTCATTTGACAACAACTTGAAGAGTAGGCATTCTTGGTAATTGAACCTGAAACTTAGATCTGTGTGACAATTTCCAGTTGGCAGGCACTCCCATATACATCATCTGATTTCATCTTCACATGCATTATCTCCCTTCAGAGTTAGGTTCACAAAAGCCTCATCACATCTCTCATGTGCTAGACCCTGTGCTAGCCACCAGGATATAGGAATAAGAAGGATACTCCTGCTGCCCTGGAGCCATTTAGAGAAAGTAAGTGTGGCGGTCCCATGGGCAGACAAATCAGCATCATGTGTTCATGCTGTGGGAGAGGCCACTGGGGGGTTCCAGAGAACACAGGGATATGCAGCCTGGTAATGTGAAAGGTACAAGAAGACAGTTTCTTTTGTCCTTATTTCTGCTTAACACACACATGGTTAATGTCACAGGGAAGGCATCCTTCTGTATTCAATTTTGATGCCAACCTATTGCCTGTGACTACCTATATTGAAGACTGTGAGACAGAATTCAGAGGAGGTTATGCCTGAAGTGATGAGATAGAATGCTATGATTGATTAGTGATGTCTGCCTCGGCATGGAAAAAGTATTTGCTATCAGGATCTAGATTGAACCAGACATCTGCAACTCCCTTTCAGTGGAGGCATAAGCTGGTAAGTTCTGGGGCCTCTGTGGTCATCTAGAGAATTCTGAAACTCCTAGATGACTAATCTCTTGGCCTAGCCCCAGCTATTGGATATAGTGAAGGCTTGGCTGTTGTAGCTGCTGTCAGTCTCTGAAAGAACACTCTGACCTCCCATAATTCTCCTTTGCATAAGCATCTGCAAAGAACCATTCTCCTCACTACTTCTTGGGCTTCACCGGTGTTGTGGCTCAGTGCATGGGAAGGAAGGGAGGAAGCTCCTCGCAGTGTTTTGTGAGAAGATATTGGTGCCTTTTGTGTTTATTCCTCTAATGCTGGTTTACTACATGAGTTCCATATTGTAGGTCAATGCTAAATAAATGACGGTGGCTCCCTGGAGTGCTGTGTTGAGGAGGATTGGAGAGTTTCCATTTGATTTACAGAAAACAATGACTGGTTTGTTATAGCTGCCTGGCAAATGGTAGCAGGTATCCCTTGCATGCAGGCATTTCTTTGGCCCAGAAGTTGGACCATGAAGCTAATCCTTTCCATGAGATTTCAAATCCCTCTTTTCCCTGGCTTATAGAAGGTGTTCATAGTTTTGTTCAAACAAATCAGTGAACCCCTATAACTCATCTTAGGGCTACTTTAACTTACACAGTGATCAGCTTTCACGTTCTCCTTTGGTGTGGTAGGGTCTTCATTCTTGTCTCCACTCTAGCACTGAGGACAAGGAGGCTCAGAGGTGTTAACCAACGTGATGGGGATCACACAACTTCCAAAAGTTAGAAGATCACGACAAAGGAAGACATCCAAATCCTTGGCCGGTTTTCTCACTTATCAAAAGCCACCTAGGCACAGGTCATTTCAGAACCTGTTCCTGGGGTTTTTGATTAGCTTGCAGACTCTTGAACTGCAGGAGGAGGATTCTGTGAACCAAAGAACATGAAGTTCAGGTGATTTATCCAAGGCCACCCAGTTAGTCATGGTGGTGTCATTGGGTTGAGGCCCTGCAAAATGGCGGTAGCAACTGAATCATCGTAAATGTGAGCCCTGCCACAGGAGACGGGGTCTATGGCTCTAGCCATGTTGGCTTATATAGAAAATTCAGACCAGCAAACCTTTTTCAGTCTCAAAGTATTTAGCCTAAGTATCCAGTACTTGCCCCATTTCTCCCCTTTAATGCACAGTTTTAATGTTTGCAGCTGTGTCCCAAATCCAGGGCTTGGTTAATTTTTCAAAGGCCTAAAAATAGAGACTCCTGTTCCCCCATCAAGCCACTCTAGAAGCCATTTCCCGCTTACAGACACCCATGAGATCTCCTTTCCTCAAATAAACTCATGATGAAATCCCAGGAAAAGCCATTGCTTGTTTCTCAGAATGACTTTCCTGCAGACAATAGAAGTACTTTGCTTTGCTCACAAGCACATAAGAGCTGCAAATTAATTACACAGCATAATTAGCTCCCTTCTCAAAATCTGTGCAGTGGGCACTTTGCAACAAGAATAGTAATAGTGGACTTCAGATTGCTGCCTTAGTAATGAGAGTTTGTCAGAGGGAAACAGAATTAGTCTAGAGAAAGATTCCGTGATAATTAGCTGTGTATAGCATTTTCTGGAGTGTGGTTAATGTTCACTGATGATATGCAATGTGATTTGAAGAATGTACCAATTTGGTTTTTTTTTAAATAGTTTTAATCTTAATATGCAATGCAAAACATATTACTAATTCATCAAACCCATGGGTTTATAAACACTCTGAGGATCAAGCAAAGTGTATTATGTAACTATCGTTGTGTAAAAATTACCCTCCCAAATGAACAATTTTCATTTCTTATCTCATAGTTTCTGTGGTCAGGAATTTAGGAACAGCATTAGGTTGATAGTCCTGACTCGGAGTTTCTCATCAGTCTGAAGTCCAGGTGCTAACCAGAGCCGCAGCCTCAGCTGAAGGTTTAACTGGGGCTGGAGTTTTGATTCCACTGAAGGTTTGACTCCGCTTCCAAAATGGTGGTCCTCACGTGGCTGGCCACTCAGTGCCAACCGTTGACAGGAGGCTTCAGATTCTTTCCAGGTTGGCCACTCCAGGGGTTGTCTGAATGCACAAGAATGGGATGCCAAGGGGTAAGAATTACTGAGCCCTGGAAGCTGGTCCCCACAGCCAGGCAGGCCTGGGTGTGCTTATGTCTTCATGCGAGGTAAGGAACGTAGGACCCAGAGAGAAGTGATCTCTAGCAGTGGAGAGAGCTAGAATTCTAACTCTAAATCCTAAACTGAATTTAGAGAATGTTTGTTAAGAGAAACCAAGAATGTTTGCTAAGTTCAGTGGCCCATGGGGAAAGGGAATGTAAAAGCGCCATCTGGAAGAATTTTTTTCCATTTAAGGTTTAAGAAGATGTGTTAGTTCTTTCTGGAGGTTTTTTCTTCTATTTGCTCTGATATTTGCCAAAGGAACCCCAAACAAAAAGGCTACCTGCCCTAGCTAAGGATGATGCTTTTGTTTTAAAGAGGTGTCAAGGAATGACTCCTGCTCAGATTTGCCTGAGATCCAGAATGGCTGGAAAACCACGTCTCATACGGAGCTTGTGCGGGGAGCCAAAATCACCTACCAGTGTGACCCCGGCTATGACATTGTGGGAAGCGACACCCTCACGTGCCAGTGGGACCTCAGCTGGAGCAGCGACCCCCCATTTTGTGAGAAAAGTAAGAGACTGCTTTTCTTCCTCTAGGTCAGTAGGTGGTAATTCCACCCCACAGGTGATTTTCACACAGTTGCAATTAACTTATTGAATGTGGAATCTGCCCTCCCTCCTTTACCACCTCATGGGTGTGGTACACAAATTTGTAGCTCTAGCAGCAATATCAGACTCAGATGCCTTGAGCAAGCAGAAGAGAATCTAGACGAGTGAAACAGTGTGGGTGTGAGCAATCGAGAGTGGTGTGGACTGTGGTGAAGGGTCGTGCATGTAGCATTTATGAAAGCATCATTCAAACTCATTCTGTTATATACCTAGAATAGCCAAGCAAAGCGAGTCCACATTGGCCCTGAAGTTCCTGTTGAAAGTCACGGGAGTGGATCGCAAACTTTATGCAGGCGGCACCCAGCCAAGCTTCCTGGCTCCTTCTGCCTGCTCCCCGATCCTATTGCGGATTAAGCATGTCTGGTGACAGCTGAATCTAATGTATTGAAAAAGGGTGGAAAAGGAAGTGTGTCTGGTTTTTACACTTAGTAGCAGGGGGAGGATTTAAAATTGGAAATGGCCTCTCCACACCCCACCCTCATAGACATTTGCTTCCACCTCCGGAGTAAAGTTCTAGTCCACAACCCTTTTACTGAATCTTGGGGATACTTTGACAGAGCTGTTCAGCATGACGTAAAGCAACAATTTCACACTAATAGATAATAACTGTGAGCTGAGACAGAGTATTGGGGGGTTATAAACAATTCTTATAAACATCCCAACATCAAACTAATTCCTTTTAATTCTAGAAATAGGAGAGTAGTTGCTAGAGAGCCATAAATCAGTTATATAAACACATCTTTTGGTTTCACCAAAGCCTGTTGGTTGTGTGTGTGGTTGTATGTGTGAGTGTGTAACCCAACACCCTCCACCAATTCCTGAACGTGATTCCCATCATCATGATCTAAAACAATTTAAACCCTTGGGGCCAACATAAACTAGTTCTGAATCTCCTCACCTGCCTCAAATTTTGCCAAGAAAAGGCAATTGAAGCAAATAACTTTGCACAGGCCCGCCTTGTGTGGGTGTTTGTGTTTATCTGCTGGCTGTCCCCCTCGCCCTCCATTCAAGCCAGGGATGATGCACCTCTTGCTTTCCCTGCCAGAGACATGAGGGCAGCCGGAATCCCTTAGGACAACGGGGTCTCCCTCAGAAGGGCCTGGCTGTTGTGACTGCCTCTCAGCAGTTAACGCTGTTGACATGAAAAGATGTGTTGGGGGAGGGTGTGTGGTGTGGGTGATGGGGTCATGAGGTACAAAATTGTCCTATCCAATAAGTCATGGGATGTGACGCTTAGCGTGGAGACCATAGTTAACGATATTGTAATGTATATTTGCATCTCTAAAGTTCTCATGACAAGAAAAAAAAAATCGGTGACTGTGTGGTAACCAAACCTCATGGCAATCGTCTCACAAGTGTGTGCAAATATGGACTCATTAGGTGGGACAGCTGGAACAAGTGTGATGTTGCAGACCCAGCACAATGCATTTTTAAAAAATATGTGTATAACCATATATTAAAATTATACAAGTCAAATACTTGTGACTTGTAGGATTCAAGCAGCAATAAAATCCTAGAGCTAGAGAGGGAAGATTTTTGCAAGCATCTGCTCAAGAGATGATTCCACGCTTAAAAGTTTATTCAAGTTGTGTGTGGGGGAGGCATATGCTATGTGTGTCAGCCTCTATGAACATGTGTGTGTGCTGTGTATAGAGACTGAAAGGTATTCGTGCTGAAAGAGCCGCAGATAGATTCACCACTGCAGAGATACAAACTGCCTGTGACTGTTTTTCCTCTTGACTCCGAAACACAGATACCTCCTCACCAGATGGACTGTCTGCCTCATTCTTTTTTAAAGTGGTTTATTGTTGTCCTTTTATCTGCATTGATTTTTTAATTTAAAAAGTGATGGACGTGGGGCCCTCCCTGGTGGCTCAACAGGTTAAAGCACTGCACTACGAGGCTCTCAGAGGCCAGTGCAGCATGAGTTCGATCCCCAGCCAGGAAGCTGACCCACATGGCGCGGCAGGACTCTCCTGACCTGCCCGCTGCTCCCCTCAGCAGTGTATTTCAGTCAGTTGGCCTGTTCTGTTCCTCACCACACCTCTGGCCTGTACCCCAATTCTATAAGCATAAATAAATTAAATAAAGTGATGGATGCTCTTTTATGACACTCAAGCACTACACTTGACTGTCACTCATGATTGCTCAGTTTCTTGCAAAGGCTATTGCCAGGTCAAGGGATTCTTTCTTTTTTTTTTTTTAATCACTGTACATGTAAATGAGCAATGTACAACCTTGTACACAGATCTTTGGGCACTGGTGCAAATGTTTCTTTGGGGAAATTCTTTTTTTTTTAAGCTTTATTTATTTATGCATACAAGAACTGGGGTACAGGTCAGAGGTGTGGGGGTGAGAGGATTCACCAGAGACAGAGTGGGGAGCAGAACAGGCCGACTGACTGAAATACACTGCTGAGGGAAAGAATGGACAGGTCAGGACAGGTCTGCTGCACCATGTGGATCAGCTCCCTGGTGGGGATCAAACTCATGCCGCAGAGGCTGTGGATAGCTTCATAGTGCTGCACCTTAACCCCTTGCGCCACCAGGGAAGGTCCTCTTCAGGCAAATTCTTAAATGGCCCTCTCATTCTGGCCCCCTTGAGGAGCACAAAAGGGAGAATAAGTTGGAAATTCTGTAATTCTGAGCCAACCTGTGACGGTCAGGAGCCCTAACGCCACTTGGTCTGATCTCGCCTTGTCTGCTAGTCATGTACTGCACCGACCCCGGAGAAGTGGCTCACTCGACCCGCTTGATCTCGGACCCTGTGCTGCTGGTGGGCACCACCATCCAATACACCTGCAACCCGGGCTTTGTGCTTGAAGGGAGCTCTCTGCTCACGTGCTACAGCCGAGAAACCGGCACCCCCATCTGGACATCACGCCTGCCCCACTGTGTCTGTGAGTCTGTTACTGGCAGAGCCTGGGCTCAAGGACTGGGGTTGACTTCCTCTTCCCGGGGGAGGGGGGCTGCTAGGGAGGCCTCCCCGCCTGGAGCGGTTGTGGTTATGACTGTCGCAGGGAAGTAGCTAGGAGAGATTGAGGGTACGGATACTCGAATATTTATGGTAAAGATCCTTGGCCAAGTTTCCCTCTGCTCTTCCTTGAGTATCCTTGGCATCTCTGTCTCCCACTTTAAGAGGAAGAATGCTAAGGTTCAAAGAGGTGAAGCCTTTGCTCCGGGTCACACAGCTACTTCCCAGGGAACATTAGCGACACACCCAGTCCTGTTAATTCTGTCTAAAACTGAGCGGTCCGGGAGGGACTGAGTAGGGTGCATTTAAGCTGTTGTCCTGAGCTGCATTGGGCCATTAAAGCAATATGTGCTTAAAAAAATACCTGATGGGGGTATCCCAATACTACCTCAATTAATTAAAAGTAAATAAATGTTAATTTTTTAAAAAAAGAAATTACAATGGAGAACTTTAAAAAAGAATTGTTAGAGAAACTAACATGTTGGGTATGGTTAGGTAGCTCACTTTGGCTACACAGATATTTTTCAAATAAATCAAGTAAAATCTGAAAAAATGCAAAATTAACACATCTTTACCCAAAAAGCTCCATAAAACTTTCCAAGATCTCTCTGAAGAATGGGGCTCCTATTCTCACCAACAGGGTGTGGAGAGAGGCACCCCAAGGCTCTCAACCCTGATGGCCTGGTGGAATCACCTGGGGGTGGGAGAAGGGGAGGTTAAAACTCCCAAAAGATTTTCATGCAATGGGCGGGGAAACTAAGATGGAGGTGCCCCGTAGCTTCAGGTAGGGATGGAGCACCATCAGATTCCAATGAATGGAGACCTTCCTCTCTGCTCTGTTTGTGAGCTGGGCAAGACCAGCGGCCTGCTGGTTCATAGATCCAGCTTCCCTGGCCCTAAAGAGCAGTCACCTCACAGACCCAAATGAGTGAGGGGCTTGGGGTTGGTCTATGCCATGCCTTCATAGGTGTCCCTTAGATCACACAGGGTTCCTTTACTAGGGGAAGATTTGATTTCTGGGATTTTATTTTCTCAGATAGGGGTTCTTTTGTGATATAAACACGTCACTCTCAACCTTCGCTCTTAACAAATGTTTAAATGCAGAATGCAGTTGTGCTAACTTGGGGTTCCGTGGCAAAGCTCTAGAATGTACTCCTCTGGCACAACTGAAATTCTCAGCCTGTCAATTAGCAGCTCCCTCTTCCCCTCCCCTGTTCCTGGCAACCACCCTTCCACATCATAGTTCTAGGAACTTGACCAATGTAAAGCTTCGGAAGTGAACTCATGTGGTATCATCCTCCTGCGTCAGCTCAGTTCACTCGGCACAGTGCTCTCAAGGTCTAGCCATACATCGCCTGTGGCAAAATTTGTGCAAAGCTGAGTAACATTCTGTTGCAGGTATAGCCACATGGTCTCTGTCTGCTCCTCCATCAGCTACCTTTGTTTCCCCATCTCGGCTGTTGGGAGTAGTGTTGCAATGAATCTGGGAGTTTTACTATCTCTTCATGACCCTGATTTCAATTCTTCAGAGTAAATACCCAGAAATGGGGCGACTTGATCCCACAATAATTTCATCATTTGGGGATCTCCATGCCGTTTTCTATAACGGCTACACTGTTTTGCATTCCAACCAAGGGTCCCCTTTCTCCACCTCCTCGCCAACATTTGTCTTTGTTTATTTGATGCTGGCCACCCTAATGGGTGTGAAGTGAAATTTCATGGTGATTTTGCGTGGCATTTCCCTGAAGATTGGTGACACAGCTCACATCTCACGTGCTTACTGGTCGTCTGTGTGTCTTCTCCAGAGAACCATCTATTCTAAACCTTGCAGACTGTGTTTCAGCTAGGGAGCTGTGGAAGTGTCTTAGCCCCTGGCCAACTAGATGGTTTGCAAATATCTTCTCCTATGTTGTAGATGGTCTATTACTTGTTAATAGCTTCTTTGGAAATTGGACAGTTAGCTCACACCCTTCACAAAATTAATTCTCAGTGGGTGAAAGACTTTCACCTAAGACCTAAAGCCATAAAAGTCCTAGAAGAAAATACAGGGAAAAGCTTCATATACTGGACTTGGCAATGATTTTGTGGCTGTAACACCAAAAACGGTGATAACAATAGCAGAAATAGCTGAGTTTTAAAATGTAAAACCCCTGAACATAAAAAAGGGGAATGTCATTATTCTATTTTCACATGTAAAAGGGACTCAAACCACCTGACCCTGTGTTCTGTCTTTCTCTTAGTCTGAATCCTGGGGTGTCAGAGCTGGAGGGAGTCTGAGAGATAAAATACAACTAGAGATAAAACACAACTGCCATTTTACAGATAACAGCAGTACGTGTTATTTACTGACTGTAAGACATTTTGCTAAGAGCTTTTTATGTATTTGTGAATGTATATGAGTGTGTGTAAGTAATATGTATATGCACATATACTAAGAAAACTAAGACTCCAAGAAAAATACGGATATAACAATGATTCACTGAATAAGTGAGACATATCGCTGACCATAGGACATGTAAGTGAATGTACTTGAATGTGCACGTGTGTAGACTTGCATCGTCTGTGCAGAAACACATGTATGTAAGACTCAACGAGGATGGTGATCAAGGTCACAACTCCTAGGACAGAGGTAGCTTTCTGGCCTCTGAGTCCAGCTGGGCTCCTTCTGCCTTGGCCAGGCCCTAACCAACCCCTCCCAGCCCCAGGCCTTTGGGCCAGGGTCACACTAGTGACTTCCATTCAGAGGCTGAATTGTGTTTCCAGCAAGAGTCTTTGCCCCTGCCTAGAATTGTGGCTATTCTTGCTGAAAATAAAGACTTTGCAGGAGGCATCAGGTTGAGCTGAGGTCCCCTGGGATTGGGGTGGGCGCTAATCTATGGATGGTGTCCTGCTAAGAAGAGGGAGATCCAGACACAGGGCGATGGCCCAGGGAGATGAAGGAGATGGGAACCCTGTAAGTCAAGGGGTTGCGAGACTTGCCAGGGCCGTGGAGGCTACAGACGGAGCTGGGCCCTGTGGCTCCCTGCCCTAACTTCCAGAACTCTAGGGCAATAATTTCTGTTGTTCCAAGTCTCCCAGTTCCCACTTCCTCCTGGTGATTGTCGGGTGGCCAGAAGTCGCTGAGTAATTCAGCTGCAGAGCCCCAGACATGAAACGCTAAAAATAAAAGCTTATGTAACAATAGCAAAAGGTGGAAATAGCATTTTGAAAAAGGCAGAAAAGGCACCTCGCTCAAGAGGCCTGGCCCCGGCAGGCCCTCCAGGCTGCCGAGGCTGCTGGATCCCGAGAAGCCTGACTGCCTCCCTGCGGGGCCGCCCTTCCCTGGAACCTCTGAAAGGATAGAACGGCAGTGTGAGTGGGGACAGCTTCCCTGACACCCACGCTAATGAGTTCACGAGCCAAGCGGGTGTCAGGAGACACACCATCCTGCAGGAGTCTGAGGGGAGGGTCCACATGGCGTGCAGCAACACCCTGGGCAGGCCTGGGGGCTGAGAGGTGGTGCAGGAGGCAAGGGATGGAGCGTGCCAGCTGCCGAGACCCACGTGACAGGGAGCCCCTGCCTGGGTTCTGCGATATTTTTATAAGGTTGTTGGCCATGAAGTAATTTTAAATTGCTTCCTCCACTGATCAAAAGGAATAGCCCCAATTTGATAAGCATCTTCGCTGGGTCAACTCCTTCCCCAACAAAAACATATTTAAGCCTCACAAAACAGCGTGAGTGATATGTGTGTCCACTTCAAACCAGGCGTAGAAGGTCCAGAGAGGATGAGTAGCTTTCCTGAGGTCACACAGTAGAGAGAGGAAACACCAGGATTCCAGTTGGATGGGATAACTAACGCGTCATTTCCGAGCTCATAACTGCAGCCCAACTGCAGGGTGAAGCTCTGATGCTTGACCATTGACAAAGGTCTTCCATTAACAAATGCAACAAAGGAAAAACGAATTTCAGCAACCTGGTTGCCTACAGCTTCTGTTCACCATCACTTGCCCACGGCCTTAGTTTGGCCCAGTTGGGTCTCAAAGCCATGTCTTTTTCCCTCCTAGCCCGTTTGTTCCATGTACTTCAAGGACAGGACAGGCACAGATAACAGAACTGCCTGGGATTGGCAGTCACACACTTCCAGCTCTTCTGAGTGACCTCCAGCAAGGAGCTTGACTTCTCTGGGCTTCAAGGTGCTCATATGTGAAAAGGATCCATACTCCCTACCCAACAGGACTGTTGAAGCAACTCATTCATCTTCCAACAAGTGCCTCTTCTACAAAGGCACAAGCTGAGACAGTCATGACTCTCAACAAGCTGTGTCCTCCTCAAAAAGATTCAAGGAACAACCATTCAATAATCAATATAAAAGCTAATCACAGCATGTCTGGCATGCAGTAAATGCTCAGTTAACATCAGCTGCTAAGTACCACTCGGCTTCTTTCAACATTGCCCTCCTGGGAGTATGTTATCAAGCCTTCCGAACAAGAATGAGGGACCCCAATTTTGAGCATTTTGCTCAATGTGCACCAATAATGTACATTTTTTTTGTCCTATAATTAAAGGGTGAGGGATTGAAAAAACAGACATTAGGGTAGGTTATGTCTGTTCAACTCACTTGAACCCCTGGTAGAGAATGGGATGAGGTCACCCAAAATTGCCAATGGAACTACTTAAAGCCTCAGTGGATCTCAACCAGGGGGGATGTGGCTCCCCTGGGGGCATCTGCGTGACAGTTTCTAGAGACAGCGTTGGTTGTCACAATTGGCAGCAAGGACTCGCTGCTGGCAGAGGCCCAGAGTGCTCTCCCCTTCCTACGGTGCACAGACCCAACCCTGTCACCACAGAGTGACCCAGCCCAGGGGTCAGTAGCATCCAGGCTGAGCACATTCAGGTGAGACAATGATATTACTAGAGGTGGGTACATCTTCCGGGTGTGAGTGCCA